AATAAGCTGATAGTCAGCATGAAGCCACTGGAGCCTTAACTGTTCCTCACAGTTTGAAAGTATCAAAATCTAAAATCTTTTCTTTCTTTTTTTCAATATTTGGACCCTGCCTTTGTTTTTCACAGTACCTGAAGAGATGTCCCTGGGTTGGCGGCTGGAGTTTGGTGTACCAGTTGCTCCTTCAGGTGCTCCAGAAGCAGTTGTAGACGTAGACTGGAACCTTTAATTGGCTGCTGTCAAAACCTGCCTGCTGAAGCTAATGTGGACATTGGACTCCTGTGGTTCAGAGAACTGAACTCCCTCTTTCTCCCCCAGATCTGGAAAAGTTAGAAAAGTCAAAGTTTTTCCCCAAATTGATCAGCCCTAGCGGTCTGTTAAATATATGTACTCTACGTATGTGCTAACAGTTAACAGTGTGTGGCACTGCTTAACTTTGGCTCTTAAAAGGTACAATGTGTAGAAATTAGACTACTCTCCAGCTGTCGAATGATGGCAGCATATCAGTTCATAACTGCTGCTAATTGCCGTAATTAGCCATGCATCTGACTTAGTGGTCCTATTAGCTGACTGAGTCCAGAATGAGCACTGTTACTTTTTCTAGATCTGTTGGTAATTTTTGTAATAATTTAAACTAAACTTCTGACCAAATCTAACATTGTACCTTTAAATCATTTTGACTGGTCTACACCAAATTGGTTTTGAATACACTCTGGACAAGCATTAGACCTGAGCCTGGGTCCCGGACTCTGTCTCCACACTCTGCTGTCCCACTCTCCTGGTCCAGGATCATGGATCAGGAGGCCCAATCTGGCCATCGGACTGTGTTGAGAGCAAAGGGGACCTGGCGATGTGTCCACTGCTGGAGCTCCTTCGCAATTTGCTGGCCAGACTGAGGCTGGATTCAGACCTCTCTGGCCCACTGGTGGAGCCAGACAGGGAGTCGGCCTGAGATTTGTTGCTGGGAGTCAGCGTGTCGTCCTCCTGGTGCTGACGTTACTCTGAGGCTCTGTCTCCAGCCCTGACGCCATCAACTTCAGAACATCTGCAAAATATACATATCCACATTTAGGTCTTTTGCATTATGAGATGTGGTCAAAAACCTAAGACCACATTAACGTAACCAAATCAAGGTGTACCTGTGAAGGAAGCAGGAAGGAAGGTGAGAGGATCTGCTGCAGCTGATGTACTTGGCGTAGCACCTCCACTGTGGCGTAGAGCAGCCGCTCTCCCCAGCAGGCCTCTTCATCCACAAGGTCTGCATTACTGAAACTCTGCCGGAGACAGAGAGTAACACGTGTTTGTTACTGTACTTGTAAGGACTTTTAATAGAGTACTACATTAATGCATCTAATGATAACCACAAACCCAAACCTTTAACTCATTACACCACTCTGACCTCAAGTCAACTCAGGTAAATGTGTTTAGTTTTGCCATTACATGTTTATGATATTGATGTATTTGTTGGTAGATGGAAACCACAACTCTTCTATATTTCATTCCACTTTTAGTCTGTTATTCCCAGCTGTATGAGTACATTAATATAATATACACAATAATTAATATTAAAATATATTACAACATGTTTGCTCACTTACTATTATGGCATAATGTTTTTTATGGATGGGCTACCTGTAAAGTGCTAGTGGATCCCATCACCTCTTTGCTGCTGCCTGTGGTGTGGAAAGACGTCATAGTGTCCTGTCTGTCTGCAGGCTTATGTACTCCTCTGACAAAACAAAACATCCATGTTTGAGCTTGGAATCAACAGTGACTCTGATCAAACTGGACACCAGAAGGTCCACGTCAAAAGCTCTGGAGCTCTTTTATGGAAGTAAACCTTTCACAAAGTCACCATACATTATCAGGAATAATGGCTGAGATGAGACCGCAGAGACATGTGCTGACCTTTAATAACAGGTAAGGAGAAAGGGCCACATGGCCGCCCTCGCTCTCGTTCCAAGATGTGGTGCATGAAGGTAACGTGGTCGGCGTCAACCAACGGGATCTCTCTGTCACTGAGATCGTGCTCCAGGCTGCCGTGGAAGAGGCTGAGCACAACTCGTTGGCAGACAGGGGGAGCTGTGGACCTGCTCCTCAGACTCCCCTGCTACGACACACATGACAACATGTAAAGCATGCCCTGGTACCATTGATTTGCCCGCTTTGTTTTTGTTTCATTTTAAAAAGCTGTAGAAAAAGATTTATTTCATGATGTGTATATACAGAACCCTTAGAGGCAGAGAAAAAATATTCTGCTGATCCATTTTCTAAGTCTGATCTAAATAGTTCTTTAGTTTTGTGAAAACGGTGAAAAAAACAAGTACATAACTTGCGAACACATTTAGCTTATGTTTAGAGTGCATGGACAAATAAAAGCTCCCCTGGACCATAGAGTAGTGGTGCACTTCAGCCTCTTGTGGCCAAAATGAGTATTACAAAAATTATCCTGGCAAAACTTTTTCCCCCACAGATGGACTGTATGAGCACAGTACCTGTACTGAATGTGAGGAAGAAGAGCTCAACCTGCTGGCATTTTGGGAGCAGATGAATGAGGTCAAACTGGAATGGAACTGTGTGAATGCTGTCCTCAGGGACAAGGGCTTCTCCTGCTCACAAGAGGAAACCCAGCCATCAATTAACGACTACAAAGACACATACACAGATTTTACATTACAAACATGCGTCACTTGACAGAGCTAGTGGCTGCAGGGACATGTATTAGTACAACACAAATATATTGGTACTTTGACAGAAAAACTTTAGTTATATCCGATTAAATTAATTACTGTTAATCTAATGTTAATAACTCAACAGTTCCTACACAGATGTTTCACATTAAAAGATCAGTATTTCTGTTATAGAAAGAAACTCAGTACTGCTGTGGAAATGTACATTATGCTGAATTTATCTAATTAACTATTACTACTATAGTACAATATTCCTTCTGTCCTCAGTTTTTTACCTGGCTTTTATTAGAGGCCAGATTTTGTGTGTCACCGTTGGCCATGTCCCAGTTATTCTGTGAGAATCAGTTTTTAAAAATTCTGGCTTTTATTTGAGAATTTATGGTATTACAGTATTACAGGGGTGCTGTTTCTGACCCATTTAATTCAAGATTTAATAAAGTGAAAGACAGAAATGCTTCTTTTCGTTCACTCATTTCTATGGCATTTTTTATCAATCGATCAAGTTATTTTGCGTGTGTTGCTTCAGTACAGCCTTTGCCTGAGTTACCTGAATGAGCTGGTGATCCCGATCAATAAAAAAATGTCACGATAAGATTTTATATACATATCATATGATGACCTTATGAAATATGATGTTTCCTTATAGATTATCCTACCCAGCAGTAAAACAGCAGCTGAATTCAGTTATACCTCGACACACTTAATTAACCGCTGTTTACACATTAATGCATCATAATAATAACCCAAAATTATAATAGAGAAGTACAATGCTCACAAGGCATAAGACCACTTTTACATTTGATACTTCATTTGATTATAATACTTTGTAATATTCCATCGCATTCACATTCACACACATTCATACACTGGTGAAACAGCCACCACGGACTTTTCAGGTTCAGTATCTTCACACTCCAGGCTACACTATGACATGTAGCCTGGAGGATCGGGATTAAACCGCCAATCTTCCAATTAAAGGCAACCCACTCTACTTCCTGAGCCACAGCCGCCCTTTCACCACAGTATGGATCTTCCTCCATACTTCGTCCACTGCTGCTGGCCACCATGTACAGTGTCAAGTAACAACATACAACATGTGCTTTTCTAAAGAGCAGTGAGTTTTATTACCTCTCTATCCTTGAGTCCAGCTGGCAGTGAGCAGACCTGATCTTTGTTCTGACACAGTTGGCTCAAATACTCAAAGGTCATCATGGTGGACATACAGGCCAGATCCCTTGGGAAGATCTAGAACAAAACCCAGGTCACTATTAAACTCAGTCTAAGACTTCTTAAATACAGTTAACTTTACACACAGAAAAATGAGCTCTCTGCCTGCACACCGTCACACACTCAATAGTGTGACGGACCACCACTCTGGGACTAGCTGCTGTATACACTAGTTATACACACTGCATGAGGGATCTCCTGGTATTTGAGGCCCTGGAAGTGGCGATGTTGATCCATGCAGTTCATCACTGTGCCACTCTGGGGTTCTACCCAGCACTCTGTCACAAGGTTCAGCTCGGTGTCCACATCTACAGCCTCCACCTCGGTGTCGTTGTCATCATCAGTGGAGAAACTGGAGTCCCATGAAAGACAAGGACAACGGATGTCAAAGGTGCCAGTACAGCTCAAGCAAACTAAGTACAGCATCTTACAATTAAATTTTTTTTTAAGTCTATTAGGGATGTGTTCAGTGACACTACGAAGGCAATGCACAATTACAGCCATTTTCATGACGGAGGGTCAGTGTGAACGCCAAGGTGTGCAGCACATCCACCTGTGCTAAAACAGGTTAAGTTCAGAGACCCTCCCTCTTCTTGAAAACTACTAATCAAACCTGCAGACTGTTGGATCTAAGTGCCACATAGCTTGGCCACGTTTCTTTCTTTGCACCATCTTATGGTTGTACCACAAACAACACTCTGAATAACTGTCCACGTCTGTGATTTGTTCATCAATACAACCCACGAGCCTGGCTCTTTGGTGTTGCGGTCAATTTGCATGTTTGGTACCTGGTAGACCGGCGTCGGCAATAGGCGGCCGGCGAGCCAGAACTGGCCCTCCAGCAATAATATCTGGCCCGCGGCCAGATTGCTTTGATAGCAGAAAATAAAAATAAATAATTGATGGTGGCTGGTGCTGAAACAGAGCTCAGTCATGACAGCTACAATTACTCACATAATCACTTCCTCTTAAGTGATTGTACCTACAAAATAAAGCACGAACTTTTTTGCAGCAATGCTTTATGTTGACTTTACTGAGAGCTTTTACTTCAAAAGTTCTGAAGGACATTCAAAAGTCTCTGGCGTGCTTTACATATCTCTGAAAAGCAGTCATCAAACGTATGATTGGATTAATTTCCCTGAATTTCCTCAGGGAGTCCATAGATTTATACAACTCCCCCAATGGAGTCCTCCACTCCACCTGCTGAGCTAAACGTGCATTTGAGTATCCAAGGGTTGGAAATAATTTGACTATGTTCTGTCCCCATGTAATGGCTTGAAAGAAATTTGGCCCGATGCCACACTTGCCGACCCCTGCCATAGACCCAAATTTGAATTCCTTCGCTACAACCAGGAATGTGATCGGCCATTGCAATGTTTTGCTAGATGATGTCACCTTGTTTTGCAACAAAGTTGAGTTAAGTTAAAATTCAGCCAGCATCAGCACACCATTCAAATGAATGAGGGGCTGCATTCTGTTAATCCCATCCGTCGGACTAAAGTCAGTTAAATAAGGTGTGATTACTGCCAGTCTCACCTATCCTTGGTAGACGTAGAGTGAGGTGGAAACAGGATGTACTGAACAATACAAGAGGGACTCTCTGTGTCCGTGTCCCCTGACATGCCCTGAGGATACAAAGCCAAATCAGTGGAAATTACAGGTGGAAAAAAATTAGGAACAGCAGTGATCCCCCCCCCCCACACACACAACAAACCAACAAAATGGAAACCTAAATCATTTGGTGGCTGATCTTTACCTTCATTGGCAGCTCAATCACCATGTTAACGATGCCCTCTCCACTAGCAGCAAAGTGAAAGCCTTCTGATATACGGATCCTACAGACATCAAGAGAGGCAACAAACACACATCAAACCAATCCAGACGCAATTTTAAAAGTAAAATGATTAGATTGGAAATGCTGTAATTATACACTAATGAAATAAGAAACCTCAGATCACATCTGCAATCCAAGTCTGTTGCAATGTGTCACTGAATGTATGGAGTCAGCCTGTGCCGATAATATGTAAAACAGTAAATTCTGCACATTCTCAATTAAAAGTGGACATTCAAATAATGACCCAGTCTTAAAAATAGTAGTAGCTGGGAGGAATAAAGAAGCCCAGGTACATTTACTCATTGGCAGACGCTTTTATCCAAAGCGAGTTACATTTGAGGAACAACATACAATCATTAACAGAGTATAAAACACAGCACGAGATCTACAACTGACATTAGATATTAATAAAAGCAGCAATAAATACTAGTAAGTGCTAATGGCACATATCACATCAATGGGGTAAATACCTAGGGAAGACATTAGAGTTAATAAAGTGCAATCAATACAAGATATTGTAGGTGATAGGAGAAGAGCACAGGAAGTGCGTGTTAGATGTTAGAGTTAGAGGTTTATAAGAGGAAGTGTTCTCAGAAGAGTTTTCAAGAGCTTCTTGAAGTTAGAGAGGGACGCCCCTGCTCTGTAATAACACTGACAGAGTACTACAATCAATTACTGTCAGGTGTAGTGTCTCAAATACTTGTGCAATATAATGTAAATGTATGGTGAGAACTGTATGATGTATGTGAGTGTGAAGTCCATGTGTGTTACTGTTGTTACTGCAGCCTTATGCAGCACTGATGCCCAAGACAAATTTCCCTTATGGGGATATTAAAGTTGATGTTATCTTATTTTAACCACTCACAGTCAATTCAGCACAAATGGTAAACATGGCGGAGGTTCCCACAGACTATTTAAGAATTTACGGCATTTGTAAGTTATTAAGCATCCTAAATGAAAAAAGAGAGAGAACACCACCGTACATCTATCTTTTGTTTTTTGTAAAATAATTCATTTAATAATTCTTAGAAAGATTAAGAAAATGCATTGTTTCTGACATTGATCTGAAAACTTAAAATACCCCCAAAAAACATTTCAAGAAGGTGCCAGTGGGTGAACTCACTCGGAGAGCATGGACAGGATGTGAGTGACGGCCTGCATGGCCACAGTCGGCCCTTGGCTGCTCTGCACGGCCCACCCCAGCGCTGGTGGAGGAAGTAACGGGACAGGGAGGCCAGGGTGGAGGAGGCTGTGCGGTTGGCTGCCATGTTGAGGGGGATGGCACTGTTGGAGGGCTGAGGAAAATTCTCCATGTTGAAAATGAAGGGGGTTCTGAAGTCCACGGCAGCTTCTCATACCTGCAAAGCATCTGCGATTAATTTCATTAAAATGTGTCCAGCAGTCAGCCTCCTTCCTCACAGAGGACACACTGCGGGAGCTTTGATATCTTTACACATCACAGTCAGACACACTTGAAGGCACAGCCAAGTGTAACCAATTAGATCAGTGCGGGGAAATTAAAACAATTGATACATTGCCAACTACGTCAGGCTTATTGTGACTTTATGAAAGCCTGGCTTTTTATTCGGTTCCATGTTGTGCATCATGGGCCTGCTATGTCTGTACTGACCTTATGAGCAGCTTCTCCAGAGGCTTATTGAGCACAACTACACAGGGTCTGTCTGACAGTGAAGGTTTGGGAGCAGGGATGGAGGGAGATTTGGAGGGTGATGGATTGCCTACAATCTTCCTCTTGGTCTTGGGGGTGGCCTCTTTGTTCTGAACACGTGAGGGAAGCGAAGTTTGAGGATCTGCTCTCGCAGCTCATCCACATCTGATGAGAAACACAAATGTTATGACGGGTTAACACAGAGAGAGACCCTTTTATGATTTCACTGAAACTGTACAGAGTGGCCAGCGCCTGGCTGTGCTGACCACTGTCACCATGTTTGATTGATCAATATGTGACCCTCCCACTGTTTGGAGGTTGTACTGCCAACCTCAGCAGGCAATTGGCTGAATTGGGAGGGTCATCAGCCGATTGCGCTCACCTGGCCCATGGGCTATAAAATCTGGCACATGTATTCAGTACGGTCTCTCCCTTCTTGCAGGTTACATCCATGCTGTGCATCTTCTTTGCACTTAGTTTAATAAATTATACTTGTTTTAACGGAGTGCCATGCGTGGGCTCCATCTTTGTCACATTACCTGAGCCAGTTTGTGACAACGTACCAGCAGGTTTAGAGAAAGTGAATGCCAAATGTTGATGGTAGGTGATAAAGGTTAAGCTTGTTTAGATTTGCCAAGGTTCAAACTGCTGTATTTGTAACATCAATCAGCAGTGCTTTAACATGAAGTTGATAACCAAGCAATAGATTTTCAAAATGCTTCATTGTCATTCTTTTTTTGCCATGTTACTGAGCAGAGATGAAGAAATGTCCCGGCAAAACAACAACCAACACAGAAGCTGATAGAGGACTGTGCATACTGGATGTTTCAAACCAAGTGGTGCTTCATCAGGCCAAGATATGACATTATACCAGTTATACTGTTACTGACCAGTGTTTTATTGTTTACTCAAGAATGGAATCAAATGTAGTACTTTCTTGTTTTATCTCTTCATCCTGCTGATTTTATTTTTTATATTCTTCTTACTATTTCTTAGATGTAAATATAAAATAATAAATTATTATTATTTACAGTTAATTGTACCTGATGGTGAGTGTCAAGGTTCATTCTCAGAAACAGTAGTTTGACAAGTCGGGGTCTTCATCGGCAAAGTGCTAACAGCCTGTAGTAATATTCTATTAACACAGTATAATGCAATCCAATACATCAGCACCACAAACTAAAACATAACCCTGAGCAGGGTCTGCTGCAGAGACACTGGTTTGGACTATTTAAATGTCCCTGACACTGTATGGAGCCCCTGTATGTATGAGTCTCAGTACCTTGTTTCTGACATGGCTGGTGTACCAATAGGGAAGCCCAAGCGCAGCACCATGCAGGGCGTCTTGGAGATGAGACGGACCAAGTAGAAGGAGGTAGAGGCTGGTCAGACGAACTGTGGAGACACAATTCATTTAAGCGTACTCTTCTTTTCTAGGAACTTAAATCTTCAATAACATGGATTACGCATTTAAATGAGCAAATTCCCCTCACCTTCGACAGCGTTGCCCAACCTTTTTGGTTTCTGGCCCCTTTAAAAAAGTTATATACCTGCAACATCCTGGCCTTAACCTTACTGTGATATGGTGTGAGTTGTGAGCACTTCCACAAGAGACATTTTATTGTATTTAAAGGATTTTTTAAAAGCCTATGGCAATTAAAGTCTCTAGTATTAATAAAAAAGGATTATATAAAATAAATATACCACTTTGGTAGCACAAACTTTTTCTTTCTTATCCATAAAATAGTTGCTTTACCCCCTCAGATTTATCCTGGGATTCCTTGGGGGACAACAAATAGTTGTGTGGGAAACCTTTTATAGTGATGACCATGATCATTAATTAGCAACATAATCATAGTGTCAGTATATAAAAGAAACAAACATTCTTCTAGTTGTTGGTCTCGTGTGGCATTTCCACCTGCAAGTCAAAGACAGTTATCAGCGCTGTCTCACCTGTATATGAGTTTAACATACGTAGCCCCCCAGCACGAAGCTGCTCCAGTCCCTCAGCAGCGATGTGAGAGCGGAGTGGGAGATACGACACTGAATGGTGCTATAACGTCCGTTGTTCCCAGCTGTGTGCAGGTGTTTGGGGACAGGCCTGGAGGAGAAAATTATTATATCACAAAGCACTACAACCCAAGCACAAGAACATGAAAATTGAGCCAACAATATGGCAGATTACAAGGCTAAACACTACGTAAATATGGACCTACAGCCACAGCTGCCTTCTTTTCAAATCTTTTTCAGATATCCCTCTCCGTCTAGCTGCTATTAGTGAAACCATTACCTGTGTCCGGGCTGGTCAAATCACATTGAAATAGCATATATATATACATTTCTCACATGTCATGTTCAAGCACGATTGCAATGCGATGCATGTGCAGCCATCTCTGCCAGAAGTTGGTGTCCTGGAGAGGATGGGCTTCCAGTAGGAGGCAAACTGGGACTGAGAAGAGTCTTTGATCCACTGTGCTGCAACGACAGGACCTGGAAAAAGAGTCATTCAGTTAAAGGAGGTACGCAAACAGAACCCAGGCAGAGAGGATAAATGGTTGTTGGATCCAACTTCATCACCGTTGACTGAGGAAGGTGGACAGCAGTGGAATAGCAGTGACCATCGTTCATTTAGCTTTTTGGTGTTAAGGATAAACCTTGTTATTCTTTCTGACTGTCAACAAATCCCATGACACCCCAAAGCTTTTAGCCTGGATTTAAAGGTATTCAAGTTAGTGCATGTCTAATACCTTCTGTGGCTTCTCCACGTTTAGTTTGGTCACTTTGGAAACAGTTAGCTGATGACCTGAGAGGCACAGAGTTTCACATGGTAAAAGAGAATCATTTTGGTCCTAAGCCATTGAGGGAGTATAAACAAGTAGCAGTACATAAAACTCTATTCTCTGATACACTGACAGCCAGTGTAGAGATCTGACAACTGATGTGATTTGATGTGTTCACTGTCTGGATTTTGTTCAGCCTCTAGCAGCAGCACCGCGGTACAAAGAATTACAGCAATTTAACCTGCTGGAAATGAAAGCATGGATAAGTTTCTCTTAGTCCTGGCTGGACATGAATCCTTGCTATGTTTTCAAGATGATACACTTTGTAATTGTCAATAGTGAATTAGAAGTTTTATTTATCGCCATTTGCATTCAGCTTTACAGCATTACCCTTTTTACTTCCTTTCTTTCCTTTTTTCACAGAAGTTGGCAGAAGATTATGGTGGCCTGTAGATAGTTAACAATAAAACGAGAGGAACAACTCAGTGTGGCAGAGAGGTACTCAAAGGATGTGTATTCTCCAAGTGCTTGCACAAGGAAGCACCACTGAATAAGGCTGCAATTCCTGCTTTTGTTTCACCTATAAAAGAATTTAGAAGGGGCTGGTTCAGTAAGAACATCCACCTGCCATTTCAATCTTAACAGGTTTCTGGTAAAACACAAAATTAGGTTTAAGGTTGTTAATTCAAAATCATTTGTTTGGTAGAGACCTAACAAATCTGCTGAAATGTTTGTGCAGCAAAAAGCCTAAAACCTTTTTGTGATCCACAAAAAACACCCCTATATTGATATTATTATTATATTCAGGCAGTGCTATAACAATCACGTTTACGTTTTAATAATTATCCTGAAAACAGCTTGGCAGAGAGACAAAATTCTTTCATAATTTTAATCTCTCAGCTCATCTGCACCTGGCTTCTGCTCTAAAAATGTCAATTTCACAATTCAATTCAATTCAATTCAATTTTATTTTATATAGCGCCAATCACAACAACAGTTATCTCACAGCGCTTTTCATAAAAGAGCAGTCTAGACCGTCTGTGATGTTATTTAGAGAAGCCCAACAGTTCCCACCAAGAGCACACTAGGCGACAGAGGCAAGAAAAACTTCCTTTTAAGGGCAGAAACCTCGAGCAGACCATGGCTCAGGGTGGCGCCATCTGCCTCGACCGGTTGGGTGATAGGGTGAGAGGGTGAGAGAGAGAGAGAGAGAGAGAGAAGAGAGAGAGAGAGAGAGAGAAGAGAAGGAGAGAGAGGAGAGAGAGAGAGAGAGAGAGAGAGAGAGGAGAGAGAGAGAGAGAGAGAAGGAGGGAGGCAGCCTACACAATATACACACAGAGGTACAGACAGCGAAGGTAATGTTGCTATAGACTGAATGAAAAATGGTACAGATATTTTAATAGTGTTAATGGTAACCATCGTAATGTTAATGATTATAATACATAGTAACTAGACTAGCAACAATAGTCGTTGTAGCAGAGGGTGTCGAGCAGTGAACACGGGGCAGCAGGTGACCCGCACCACAGATCCGACTCCACAGCTCCAGAGCCAGACAACAATGTGTTCTTAATTATCTCCTCAGAAAACACTGGCCGTTCCAAATACTCAAGCCAGTCAATTTTTTATCAACAAATGTCATGTCATCAGTCATAACTGCTGCTAAATGCTGTTAGCTAGTTATGGGAACCGGGCTCAGCAGCCCCCCACCACGGCCGCCCGGGACTGAACACAAGACTGACGGAGGCCAGTTTGACGACAAGGAGACCCTACCGAGGGGATTTGTTGCCACTCTGACCAGGACTCTGATTCTGGGATGACGATGACATGGCAGGTTCAGGAGAGGCGTGAAATGGGAGATGTAGCGACGCCGTAGAACCAGAATATTTTATATTTATATATCTGTGAATTAAGGTTGTTGCTTATTTCACCACACCAAGCCTGTGATTGTTGGAACTGTGACCGTTTGGGTGAGCTTTGGTTTTGGATGAAGTGTGTTTCATGAGTTAACAAGAATTCAGAAGGTGTACGGTACGTTGTTTTTTTCTGTTTGATAAGAAGAAAGAGGAATTTTTCCTTTCTTGGCATTTTTATTTTGTTTGTTTATTAGATTAAAAAAACTGGGAGCACTTGTGTAACGTAGTGAAATCGCTACTCGCACTAAGCTCCCAGCTCCCAGCTGAAGAGATGGGGGAGGCCTCAGCTGTACTATCAGACTGTCACCTCTGTGACAGTGGTATTACGACAGGGCGGGGCTAGCTGGTTAGCATGCTAACTTAAGCAGATATGTCTGCAACAGAGCTATTACTTCTTCACATTCTGTTCATCATGTTAGTTCATTTTTTTATGTTTTAAACTAACATTCTAGCCAAATCTTACACGCTGTACCTTTAAACCATTTTTGACTGACTACACCTCACTGGTTTTTACTACAGCTATGAGAAACAAGCATCCAGACATTCAAAATCTGCCTTGAACCGATCACTGCTACACTATTTATTCATTCATCAATGTAGTTGATCCTCTTCAGACTTAGGGTTTGCAGAGCCATGTATTCAGTGATAAAGTCTGCTGAACCAGTTGATCCCTCTGTTGGCGACAAGAATATAAGCAACCTCTGCAATTAATGTGTCAACGTCTTGAACCTTTTTACTGTTGCCCATCCTTCCTTCCTTGTAAACCGGTCATGCCCTCTGTTCAAATGGTCTAAAAATCAATTAATATATTTCTTAAGTCATAAACCAAACTAAAGCAAACGCATAGCACAGATTTAGTTAACGTTACACTGGAGTGGTGTTGGACCACAGTACCGGAGTAGTGGAGCCGGGGGATGTAGAACAGAGGAACTCCGTTTTTGGTGCTCTCAGGAATCATGTAGTTCTCAGGAATGGAATTAAATGACTGGAGGTGCACCAACATCTGATCAGTCTGGTTGATGCTGGAAGGACAAACAGCACATGTACGGTAGGTAAGTAACAGCAATCTCGATCAGATGTATCATCATTATTTTACACTCTAACTCATGGTGAATCATTGTGCATTGTGTACCTCTGTAGTGTGTTCCAGAAGCGTCGGATGACGGAGGTACGGTACGGACTGGTGATGGGTTTCCTCTGGGTGCAGCTAATGTCATGCAGGATGTCATAGCTTCCTTCCATGGTCACCTCCACCCTGGTGGTTCTCTTGGTGGGGTCCAAAGGCCAGGAGGCGGCTGCCAGGTACTCGATATGCATGTTGTGTTTCCATAAAAGCACCAGCTTCACCTCCAGCTGAGTCCCACCTTAAGAAACCAGGGGTGTCATTCTCAGCCAGAATAAACCCTGCACCACCTTGTTGAGCCATTTCCTCTAGGACTTTTGAAAACAAACGTTTACCTTTAGTGAGGCTGATCTCTCTGATTGTGTAGCCCTCTCTCAGTCATCGCACAGACACCACGCTGATTAAATGGGCATGGACTTCCTTCTCTGTGTGCTTCTTCCTCCTCATGACCAGGGCGGGGTTACCGCTGGCTGACACCAGGTGCTCATTGAACAGTTTGTGCTGGGAAACTATAACACAGTGAAGTAGTGAGTATGTACGCATATTTATTTTCATCATCATCAATACTAATAAACCTGCATTGTATCTTAGAAAACAATGTCAATGGAGTTCACAAGAAAATAACAAAATGCCATAAAACATAAATCTAATTTGACGATAACTTTGTCCTAAACGTATGTTTTAGAAATGCATTTAAATAACTATAAATTCCTCTATTCAGTTCATTAAACCTAGCTAGGTCATATTCACAGATTTTGAAAAACAAAACACAGAACTTGATGGTAATTAAGGGTATTATTTGAAAATGATACATATATATTTTCTTTATAATAAATTGTATTCATTTGCGTTGTACTTTTTTCCTACTGCATTTTAGTGGGACACAGAACGCAACATTGTGTTGTGTTTGTTTACATTTCAAATTAGCTTTACAATGAAATAAGCTCATTAGTAAACCTTTTCTGAAGAATACCCTTACAGCAACAAAAACCATTGTCATGTTTTTATAGCACATTGAACTAATTTTTAATCAAGGGGGCCTATCATCCCACAGGGCAAGTTTAGATATAGACACAGTACTACAAACAGACTTATAGTACACTGTCTCACCACAGAAGTACTCTGAGTTCATAGACTCCGGGGTCTTAAGGAAGGAGTAGGTTAAGAAGGCCTTGTGGTACACATTCATCTCCTGGTTGTTCACGTCCACTTCAGGACAGCTGGGCAGGTATGAACCAAATGTAGCTAATGAGATGAACTTCATCAGCTCTACATTGGGGATGTAGCCAAAGCTGCAGTCGTAGGAGTACGCACCACCAACCTGGAAGGGATACACATATTTGAAAGAGAGCAGTCAGTATGATGTTGCCGTCATTCTACGGAGTCATGGTTGTCACAGAATCCCTCTCACATTACAGTTCTTTGAGTGGAGTTCTTGAGTAGATTGAGATACACATAAGCATCCTCGTTGCGATCCTATCCTGATTTTAATCATATTCAGGATATAACGTTTTCATGGAACATGGAGCATAGAATAACCTGGTTATTCATACCCCATGACTCCTTTCTGTATCGTCCAAGTTCAAAAAGCAGTTGAGGACAAACTCACTGCCCTGATTAAAACTGGAATATTGGTGTTGCAAGTACTCCTTTAAAATAATTCCAAAGATGACTGACAGTAAAAAGATAAAGACCAAATACAAATACAGAATGCACATATACACATGAAAAAGTGTTTGCCCCCTTCCTGATTGCATGTTTGTCACACCCAAATGTTTCAGATCAAACAAATTGAAATATTAGACAATGATAACACAAAAAGCAGTTTTTAAATGAAAGTTTTTATTATTAAAGGAAAAAAATCCAAACCTTCATGGCCCCTGCATGGAAAAAGTGATTGTCCCCTATACTTAATAACTGGTTGGGCCACCTTAGCAGCAACAACTGCAATCAAGGGTTTGCGATAACTGGCAATGAGTCTTTTACAGCGCTGTGGAGGAATTTTGGCCCACTTATCTTGGCAGAATTGTTGTAATTCAGCCACATGGAGGGTTTTCAAGCCTGAACCGCTTTTTTAAGACCATTCAGGTCAGGACTTTGACTAGGCTGCTCTAAAGTCTTCATTTTGTTTTTCTTAAGCCATTCAGAGGTGGACTTGCTGGTGTGTTTTGGAGCAATGTCCTGCTGCAGAACCCAAGTGCGCTTCAGCTTGATGGCATGAACAGATGCCTGGACATTCTCTTTCAGGATTTTTGGACAGCAGTATTCATGTTTCCATTTACCACAGCAAATCTTCCAAGTCCTGAAGCAGCAAAACAGCCCCAGACCATCACACTAAACTTCCTTTTCTGAAATGCTGTGTTACTTTTATGCCGGATGTAATGGAACACACACCTCCCAAAAAGGTCAGCTTTTGTCTTGTCAGTCCACAGAGTATTTTCCCAAAAGTCTTAGGGATCATCAAGATGTTTTCTGGCAAAACTGAGACGAGCATTTATGTTTTCATCTTGGAACTCTGCCTCTTTCTTATGGCGGAGTCATGAACACTGACCTTAACTGAGGCACGTGAAGCCTGCAGTTCTTCAGATGTTGTTGTGGGGGGTTTTGTGACCTCTTGGATGAGTCGTGACTGCGCTCTTGGGGTAATTTTACTTGGCCGGCCACTCCTGGGAAGGTTCACCACTGTTCCATGTTTTCGCCATTTGTGGATAATGGCCCTAACTGTGGTTCGCTGGAGTCCCAAAGCTTTAGAAATGGCTTTAATCTTTTCCAGACTGATAAATCTCAATTACTCTGTTTCTCATTTGTTCCTGAATTTCTTTGGATCGCACACTGTTTCAGCATGATGTCTAGCTTTTGAGGATCTTTTGGTGTACTTCACTTTGTCAGGCAGGTCCTATTTAAGGGATCTCTTGATTGAGAACAGGGCAGAAAACAAAGATTCCAAGATGGGATAAACCACAGTTGATTTATTTTTTAAAAGGTGGGGCACAATCACTTTTTCACAGAGGGCCATCTAGGTTTGGTTTTTTTCCTTTAATAATAAAAACCTTCAGTTAAAAACTGCATTTTGTGTTTACTTGTGTTATCTTTTTCTAATATATCAATTTGTTTGATGATCTGAAAAGGAAGTATATGAGTAACAAACAGGTCAGAGGTGCAAACATCAAGATGTTATGGTCTTTACCTGCACAAAGGAGCAGGCAATGGTTCCACTCCTGAGCTGGTTCAGCAGTGTTTCACACACAGCTACATCCGGAACACTAGTCACTCCGTCTGTGATTATAATGATACCTGGAACACACACAAGTTAAATGACTAAAACCTCTTAAAGTCACATGATGTACTTCTGACTTTACACGGTGAATAGTCAGGATGGTGGAGGTATGAAAGTCAGCAGGGTTTCAACTTCTCTCTCACTTCTCTATTTCCATCCTTCACACAACTACTTCTGTCACTCTTCCTGTGCACAACCGAGTGCAACAGCATGAATGTCTTCAAAGAGAGACTGCTTGAAAGTGTGCACTGTTATCTCCATTTGCGTGATTCATCACATCAAGACTACAAAGACATGCAAAAGACAGAAGAAGGCTATGATGGCCATTCAGAACAGGTATAATCACATTGGAAGTGGTTGGATGATATTTTATTTATTTAAGCATACTGAGGCCTTTACATTTCAGGCCTACCACAGTCAACAATGTCTACATAGGCAAAACAGACTGACATCTTCATGCCACATATCAAAGATGCCAACCTGTTAAAGCAAACCCATGACCATATTTTTGCAATATCATAGTAAGTAGATTGATCCAAAACCTTTAAAGTTGGCTAAAGTCGTAAAAATCATTCAGATTTCTTGGCAATGTTTAACTCATTAATACAATATCAACTGTACAACATACTCTTGCAATACTTAGCTTACGATATGGTTAATCATGATATTTAGCTTGCTAAATTATCCAGACACAGTTTAAGAGACACTGTGCTGACACTGCTTGAGGATTATTTACATCATAGCAAGAGGTTACTATCCAAAAACATATGTCTGACATAGCTACAATATTGTGTGTGGGTGCCTCAAGGTTCTATTCTTGCTATATTTAATTTTCATTCATTGTCTTCCAATGGGTGGTGCTGTGGTTAGCACTGTCGCCTCACAGCAAGAAGGTCGTGGGTTCAAACGTGAGTGGGAGTGTTTGTCTATGTGTAGCCCTGCGATGGACTGGCGACCTGTCCAGGGTGTACCCCGCCTTTCAGCCGATGTCAGCTGGGATTGGCTCCAGCCCCCCGCAACCCTGTACGCAGGATAAGCGTTTGACGATGGATGGATGTCTTCCAAATGCCTCTGCACAATATTGCCGATAGTTTTTGTTTAAAATGAATAACTAAGCTGTCACATAATGTCGAGCACTCTAATGTCATTCAAAGGTTGCAGAGAAGTTGATTATTCTTGGTTACAAGTATTGATCAGCAGGCCATTGAGTAAGTTTACTTTACATACTTGCTAGGGGAATTCATTGATTATGTATGGGTTATAAGGCAAAAATTGGTGGAGTTGCTGATCTCTCCCTTTAATAGCTAAAGATGTCGATATCGGAGACTTGCCAGACTAGACAAGAACTTTTCACCACTGATGGACAAGATGTTTTTTCAACTAACGAAGCAACAACCATCTAAAGACAATAGAATGACTCTTTGGATCAATTTAGCTGCAAAGCAAGTCAAAGAAGAGGTCAATATCCTCTTCTCTCTTTCTTTCTGGGTCACACAGAGACAAACATTTTATACTGTATTGATGAGCAAAACTCTGGTTTACTTGTTCTTTATTGGAATAAACTCTTTTGCACTGACTCTTGACCGTCTCCAGTGAAGTTTTTGACCACGCAGTTTTTGACTGAAGAAGAAAGCCAATACAGTAATATTTACTGAGTTTAATAAGTTGGTTAGGGTAGGGACCAGGCCTTCCACTGGCCCGGCCTGTCCTTATTTCCAACCCAACAGACTATATGGGAATGTAATCACTTTGGGTGGACACTGTTTGATCCAGTAGGAGGCGGTAATGCCAACCACTATAAAACACCAACGAAGAATAAGAATTAAATATAGCCCGAGCAGCAATGATCGGATCCAAGGCAGTCGCGAAAAACGCAACATATGAAATTCAGAAGAGAACAGACGCAGACGACTTCAGAGATTAAAGTGATGAAAGAATTTGGATAATTGGGAAACGCATTCTGGATTTTTAAGCATCCCCTTGAGATCAGAGAGCGTCATTATATGTACCTACACTGGGTGAAATGTTCGACCCACCTGCGATTTTTGGGTTTCGAAGATTTAAAGTTTAAGCTGCACAAACTCTTTTTAGCAGAGAAAAATGAGAAAAACTGCCAGGGATCCAAATAAAAAAAGACCTTAGACTCACTATGATCTGAACACCCCCACTGTCAGCACGTCTGACTGGCTCCCTGGGGATTTGAACCCTGCACCTGCAGAGCTGCAGAGTAGGTGACTTACTGACTGAGCTACAGGTGAGAGGTTTCCACACACACTTCTCACAACTTGAGGTAGTGATGTCACATGTGCCAGACCCCGATAGTTTTGTCAGTTTAACTTAAAACGCTTACATCTGTCAAAATGTTGGTGAGAAAATTCTGAAAAAACATGCATGGTGGCATTTGATCCAAAATTGAGTTAAAAACAAAAGTTGTGCATACTGTACAAGTTACATCTGAAAACACTTGATATCGGCCATCTGGAAAACGACTGTTGAGTTTGGTAGAGTTTGAATAAAGACTTGTGGAGATATAGATTTAATTGAATTAGTATATTCTGATAAATATAGTGACTGACTTCTGAACTGACCATAGGTTGCAGTGAGGCAAATGTCACATTTCAGTGGATGTGCTGAAAAAATTTCAGCTCTCTAGGACGTATGGATGATTATCTTAGACTTTTTTGAAGTTAGGAATGAGAAATGTCTAGAAATGTACATTTCTTGTAATAAGCCACGCCCACTTTGTGCAATCATTACCAATTATTATACATCAACTGAGTAGTGACCCGAGATCGCACAAACCGAGTTTCGTACAAATCCATCCAGTGAATTACGAGGTATAAACCTTTTGCAAGTGTAGCGCCACCTAGTGGAAGATATCCGAGGACTGCTCAGCGAAGCTCAGGACGAGCGTCTGTACAGATGTGTCGAGTTTGGTTACATTAGCTTAAGCCAATTTTGATTTACGGGCATTTGTAAAGTTGTACATAAATACACAAAAGTAAAAATTTAAGAAAAAAAAAAAAAACGATTCACGCATCAAATTCTTTTGATAACTTTTGATCAGCGATGTCCGTAGATGATCCTGCTAAAGTTTCAGGTCGATTGGCGAAACCGTCTGGGACGAGTTTGCAAAAATAGGTTTCAGAGAAAAGTAACAAAAAGTTACATAATTTGACATTTTAGAGCAAAGACCATTGGAGCAAAGATGCAGATAAATCCAGAGATTAAATGATTAAAGAAGTTTGACTCTAAACAAAGTCTTTTGAGATAATTGCAAAACGCAATGTTGATTGCTGACGTATTGCGGTAAGCGTGTCGACTCATTTCCGTTTCCGGTGCTTGTGTGTTGGTACCGTGTTGTTGCTCTCGCTAAATAACAGTTACATTTGTTTGATTACAGCGGCCAACTGTTCGCTAAACACTTATTCTTTACAGTAATTTTGCCTAAGCACTCACAGTTCTTCCATCTTTTAGTGACTGCTTTCAATCTCATAGTTGTTCTAAAGTTTTGGTAGCTGACGCTACAGTACTTTAGCTTAGCCGTTAGCGACTTTAGCTTAGCAGCTAGCGATGGCTTCTCCTTCTCCCTCTCTCTCTCCTTTCTCCTGCTCGTTGTGCAGATGTTCAGTTACTCCTCTGCCTCCTTTAGCAGTAATGGTACGTGTAATAAGTGTAGTTTATTTATAGACAGGAGGCGAGGCTCAGTGAGTTAGAAGTCCGGCTCCGCACCCTGGTAGATCATCTTTAGCTACTGTAGCTAGCCAGTCCCCGGTAGTCGGTGCGGAACGGCCTGAGTTAGCCTCTGGTAGCCGTCCTCCGGCATCCCCTGTGCGCCAGGAAAGGGGGGCTGGGTGACTGTCCGAAGGAGGAATAGTAAGCATTCAAAGTCCACGGGGCATCATCAACCTGTTCACGTTTCTAACAGATTTTCCCACTCAGCGACACACCCGCTGAGAAACCAACTCTGATCATTGGCAGCTCCATTTTGAGAAACGTGAATTTAGCGAGCCAGTGGCCATAGTTAAGTGCATCCCTGGGCCAGAGCGGGCGACACTGAGTCTTATTTGAAACTGCTGGCTAAGGATAAACGTAATACAGTAAGATTGTATTCACGTCGGCGGTAATGACTCCCGGTTATGCCAATCGGAGGTCACTAAGATTAATGTTGAGTCGGTGTGTACATATGCAAAAACAATGTCGGACACCGTAGTTTTCTCTCGGACCCCTGCCAAATCTGACCAGTGATGACATGTATAGCGCATGTCGTCATTCCGCCGCTGGTTGTCGAGGTGGTGTCCAGCAAACGATGTGGGCTTTGTTGATCATTGGCAGACTTTCTGGGAAGACTGGTCTGATCCGAGAGACGGCATCCATCCCACTTGGGAAGGAGCAGCTCTCATTTCTAGAAATCTGGCCAAGTTTATTATGGACCAAATCCATGACAACCCAGAGTTGAGACCAGGAGGCAGAGTCGCAGTCTAACACACTTCTCTGCTCCTCCATTTCAGGAGTTACTTAGTGAAAATCCTATAGTGACGGTGTCTGCCCCCCGACCATCGAATTATTTAAAAAGGTAAACAGAAGAGGAGCTGTGCATAAAAACCTCATAAAAATTAAAACCACAAGAGCAATAGTGCAAACAAATAGGAGAGTTAAATGTGGACTCTTAAACATCAGATCTCTCTCTTCTAAAGGTGTACTAGTAATTAACTAATATCAGATTATGATATTGATTTATTTTGTCTTAATGAAACCTGGCTGGGTGATGGAGAATATGTTAGCCTAAATTAATCCACCCCTCCCAGTCATATTAATACTCCACATCTCGAGGCACAGGCCGAGGAGGTGGAGTTGCAGCTATCTTCGACTCTAGCCTATTAATCAGCTCTAAACCTAAACTAAACTATAACTCATTTGAAAGTCTTGTTCTTAGTCTTTCGCACCCAAGTTGGAAATCACTGCAACCAATTCTTTTTGTTATAGTGTACCGAACACCTGGCCCGTATTCTGAATTCTTATCTGAATTTGCAGAGTTT